GCGGCCGCGGCGGCCGCCGGGGGGCACACACACTCGCACCCCAGTCCGGGCAACCCGGGCTACATGATCCCGTGCAACTGCAGCGCGTGGCCCAGCCCGGGGCTGCAGCCGCCGCTCGCCTACATCCTGCTGCCGGGTATGGGCAAGCCCCAGCTGGACCCCTACCCCGCGGCCTACGCCGCCGCGCTATGACCCCGCGGGGCGGCGCGGCGAGGACCGCTGGGGCTCTGCGCACGCTGCTGGAGGTACGAGCTCTCCCGCGCCCTGCGCGCGCGCCCTAGGCGCAGGGGGCCCGCGCGGATGTACATACGTGTATAGGAGCCTGGGCAGGCGAGTTGCGCGCGTGCGCGGGCGAGGGTGCGTGTGCCTCCCCAGGATCATTGCAGACTGGCGCTCCAGCAGCAAACTTTGCAAGAGGCCGGTTGTATGCGGCTGCGGTCGGTAGCGGCTTCCCCCTTGGCAACCTGTTGCGTTTTCGCCCGCAGAGATTGAAGAGTAACTTTTTGACACGTTGGGCTTTTTAGTTTTGTTGTTGTTGGATGTTTTTATTGTCGGGTTTGTTTTCATTTCCTCATTAGCTTTCCTTTTTTTTTTTTTACACCCCGCCCTCCGCTGTCTGTGTTGCATGCACTCTGTTCCAGTGTCAGATTTTGCATTTGCTGGCACAGAGGAAAAGTTGGTTTGTGTCATTTATTTCTCGGAGCGGGGTGGCGCTCAGCAGCCTCGGCTCCCTTTTGTACTATTTGAACTTTAAAATCTGTTCTCTCAAGCAGAACCCCCAGACCGGATGCATTCTTGACCAGAGTGACCGGCTCCTATCTGGCCTTCCTATGTGACATAATTACGGTTTCCTTTTTTTTTTAATCATACCATATGCAAATCAGAGCAAAAACTTTCTGGAGAGTCAGAAACGCAAATACGTAAAATGCAAAAAAAAAAAAAAATGAGAACTGGCTTTTCTCCCTTAAAAAAAAACAAAACAATAACCAAAAGCTAGGATTCACTGAGTCCCCTCTTGGATTTCTGACACTGTTTACAACAAAACAGGGGGAAAGGAACGGCTCTTATCTTCTCCTATGCGAGTTCACTTTCAGATTGTAAATGTGTATTTGTCAGTGCAAACAGTTGAGTCTTTTTAGAATGTGTTATTTGCGTTGCCCTAAATAGGAGTCGGTTTTAGACTCGAGCATTTTGAGCAAACGTCAAAATTAACTCTTAAAAATAAAATTGCGGGACTAATCAGAATCGCAATTTCACCTAAGACTATATCAGACTTTTTGTCTGAGTGGTAATTATATATTTATTATTTAGCAAACCCAGAAGGGTGAAAATTTTGTTTTGACAGATGTCCAGGGTGTTGTTTTTTTTTAAATCAGCGTTTCTCCCCTAAATGCTACCATTTAAATGCTTTTTGGAGTTTCCTCTCCATTAGCTTATTTTTTTCAATCACCTGCAATTCATTTGCAAATTTTTATAAAAACACAGTTTAGAAAAAGCCTTCAATTATAGCTTTTTTGTTTCTTTTAAAATGTATATATTTTGACTAATGTTTGTGAATGAAGTTGGCTAACATGTATTTAGTTTCATTTTTGGCTTTATGTAATATAAAGTTTTAAAAAGTTTTAAGTATTGGTTTTAACTTTTATGTGTAAATGTTTTTCTTGTGTGATCTTTTAATTTAATATTAGACGTTTAAACTATATCTGTAAATTAGAATCCGACTATCACTCTGTTCATTTTTTTGAACAAAGAGTTTAAATAAAGCCTGAACCAGGGAAAAGAGAAAAATCCTCTATTTCTTGTTGAGTTCCTAACAAGATTTTTATCTGAATTGCCCTTATGGGGCTGGTCCAGGTGAAGTGTAAGGGATCCTGCAAAGGCAGCCTTTGTTTCACTTTTGAATAGATTTACTAGGAAATCTAAATCAAACCATTGTTATTCAGAGCCAAAACCCTGATTTATCACATTTTTAATCGTGAATAGGAAAGAAGATAAAAAAAAAAAGCAAGTAGTTGTATTATCTTAAAAAAAAAAAAAAAGGCATTCATGAACCAGTGGAACAGAGCTCATTGAAAACATCTAGACCTTTCAAAGCGTTTCACCAGTTTCCAGAAACATTGTAAGAGGGGAAAGTTGCCTGACCACTTTATCTTGTTAGAAGGAGTGCCCCGTCACTTAAATCAATGTCATTTGCTCAGGTGTCTTTGAGGGGTTCTTTATTTACATCTTAAGGGTTTGGGGTTTTGTTTTGGTTTTGGTCTTTTTTCCCATTGCGAGTGCTATCACTGGTTCTAAGGACATGATACAACTTTTGGCCTCTACGGGAGGGATTTATTCTCTCGTACAAAGGACATTAAAGTTGAGGTAGAAGAAATGTGTGGGCTTGATTTTCCAGACCCAGATAGTTTCAACTTGAGCAAAGTTTGATATTCTAAGGCATTTTAATTTTGGAAAATAAGTGAGAGGGCATCTCGGAGAATTCCAAAAGGGGGGGGACCTGCAGAGTTTTCCGCGCTCCCTCTCCCACCCCCGTCACCCCAGCTCCCACCCCAGTCCAGGAAATTCTCTAGTTTCCCCATTGAAGGGTCCACCTCTTGCGGGGGCACGTCTTTATAAGCGACCAAAGTCTGTAAAGCCGTTGTTTTCCCCAACGGAGTAATATTTTAAAAACCATGAAAAGTTTTGGAAATGTGAGAAATAGGTTCTGCTGGTTTGACCCTGATTCACTAATTAAAACGATCCCTCTCCTGTTACTCCCCAGCGCTCTTTGCAATATTATAAGTTAATTCATATGGTTCTGAGCGATTATGCAAAACTAATTTGGACTGTCCAGGGGTAATTATCCCTGACACGGTTAATTAAATCCTTTCAAGGCTTCGTCTTTCCCTTTTGTAGCAACCCATCACTTCCCAACACGGAACTTCCTGCGGCTGCCTGGAAATCACCCCAGCCCTAAATCTTCGCTGCCTCCGCGCGCCCGCGACCCCGGCCCCCCAGGCCCGCAGGGCCCCGCCCCCTCCCTCCCGGAGGTCGGCGTTCGCTGGGAGAACCGCTCCTGAGTGTGGATAAACGAGAGCCAGAAAGATGGCTCAGGGCACCGGATGCTGAGTGAGCGCACACAGGGCCACATCGGCCCAGATGGAGTGTGTTGGAATACAGCCTCAGGCCCCAAAGACTCGCCTTGCACCCACCCAGTCCATTGATCTTGCTAACAACTTGATAATGTTTGCGCCTGGAAGAAGCTTCTCTCCGAGTTTTGCCAAAGTAGAGTGGGGAAAGGTAGCAGGGGAGTGGAACAGGGTGGGTGGGGGTGCTTTGTGGCACAAGGGCGTGGAGAAAGCTCTCGCCTGATTTGGGGTGGGGTGCAAACATCTGAAAATGAGACGCGAACACCGCGCTGCAGCGGCAGGCAGGGATTCCCCTCCCTCCCTCCCCCCCTCCCTCCCTTTTTTCTTTCTTACCTGTCCCCCTCCCCCCAATCTGGTGTGCCCTTTTTTGTTTCGTCCCAAAGTTTAAACAAGCCACATTGCTTTGCTAGTCACGGCGGCCTCAAAGCTTTCAACAGGCCTTGTAACCGAGGAGCCAGGCGGGCAGCTTTTGGGCTCTGTGCAAACAGGTGGGGTGATTCCGCTTAGGCCCTAAAGACGGGGGGGCTGCGGTACAAGCGTGGCTGCGGGGGTGTAAGCGGACTGGCCTTTCATGCTGCTTCATCTCACAGGACCCTTCCTTTCCCTACCCCTCCTGACCAAGTTGTCTGGTTTGGGGGTTGTTTTTTTGTGTTTTGGGTTGGTTTGTTGTTTTGGGATTTTTGTTTTGTTTTCTTTTGTTTTTTAAGGCAGGGACCTTGGGTTCGAGGCTGCATCTGCCAGGGGCGCGGGAGATGCTGAGAAGATGCTGCCGCATCTGTCAAGGGGCGCAGGAGATGTTGAGATTCGCATCCCGGGAGCCGCGCACCAGCCAATCAGAGCGCGGCTCCCGCGGGCGCTCGGGCTGCGCTGCGGGTCCCCTGGTCCAGACCCGCGAGGTTCTCCTAGAACTCCCAGAAAATGCCCATCGCTTTTAGCGCTCAGAGGCCCAGATACCACCAGACTAACTTTATTAATCCCCCTCCCCACCTTCTTTCTCCCTCAGCCTAGTGCATTTCAAAGGTCAGCTCTCTTCTTTTAAAAGACTGATATTATTAATTCACTGACAATTTCCCTTCCCCCAACTTTCCTTTTTCTCCCTTGCGGGGGGCGGGAGGGGGGAGGAGAAGGGAAATAGTGAAAAGAGCTTTTTTTTTTTTAATCTTTTTTTTTTTTTTTTGTCCTTCAGTGGGAGCGTTTAGACAGTCGAGGAGGTTTTGTCCCGGAACAAAACGCAGGGTTGGGAGGTTTTGTGAGAGTGTTGTTTGTTGAAGTGGAGCTAAGAAAAAGCGGCGGCTTTCTCCTCATTGTGAAGAAACCAATCAGTGGTATTTGGAAAACTGTTAGCATTGTGCACTTCTTCTGTGCGCATTGTGAGGCGTTTCTTTTCACAAGGTTTTTTTTTCAGCCGATCCAGCTGGCCGGAATGAATAGCGGCGCAATGTGTACACGCATTGTCCCTCCGGCCTTCAAGTAGCCCCCATTGAATAGACTGAGTTGACACTGCATGACAGTGAGACAACATAATAAAAAATACATGAACCCCTGAATAGGAGCAGGCGCATAAATAAATAAAATGGGTGACCAAAACTGGATAAACTGAATGACAAAAACGGTGAAAAGGGAACAAAAAGATATTTAACACGCTAGATTAGCATTAGAATGCCGTCGACAAGGCCCAACAATGGATGAATAGGTCTACCGGCCAAGAAAGAAATGGACTAAATGCCCTTTGAATAGATAGGCTTTTTGCAAGGGCTGAATGGGAAAAGGTACAGAAGAAGCTATGCAAATGAGCGGGGGAACTTTTTAGATATATTCTTTAAACATGCACACACACACACACACACACACACTCTGCTGGGGAGAGAGTAGCCTTGGGCTGTTTATAGAAGCAATAATTGCCATTATTAGCATTGTCTGCTGCAGACAGAAATTGAACAGGTCGGGGATAATATAGGGTAGCAGTAATTATTCTTCTAATTAATGGTCCTTCGCTCCTTGAAAAAAAAGGGGAAAAGGAGAAGGAAAAGTTACGCCGAAGTTACGCTGCCTTGCGTGGGTCCG